TTGTCTTTGGTTTTAGGTCGCGTTCAGGGGTGATGGGCAGAGGTAGTTGAGTTCAGGGGACGCTCGGCAGCAGTCTACCAACTGAAGTGAAGCCGAGCCTCATGTTTATAGCTCGCAAAGAAGATCTCGTCAAGCCTTACTTAGCTCGGCTAAACGACAGGCCACAGCTGATCTACGCGAAGAGTCCTTGGGAATAGTCAGCTCATCAAAACCAGCATGATATCAGCTCCTCTCTGGACGTCGTGCTGCAAGGACCTGGCTACACAGTTGACATGGTACGATCGATAAGTCTTGGAATCACAAGGCCATTCAAAGGCAATAATGCAACAACAGCAACAGTCCTCGGCCTAAAAGAATCCATCACAGGTTCTTCGCGCTTCCGGAGGTGGGGTGGTCGGGGCAATCCATCTGCTGAAACTTTGATTTGCTAGAGTTTACCGAACCTCATTGCCCCCTTTTGTGTGTTGTCTCATAATTATGTACCCTTGAGCCGTTCGCATGTTAGAGTTTGGGAAAGCTTAGGAGGTTAGGTGCCCTGGCAAGGTGGGAAGGCTCGTGTTCCAGCTTTTCTCTTTGCACCCGATCCTTTCGGGTTTTGCTTCGACGCTCTGTGAGCCAGCTCCCACTGAGTTTAGGCTACACCTAAACTTGGGTCTACAGCGCGGAACTCTGAGCAACGAAGGTGGGCCGTGCACCCGCCGGGCGGCTTCCAGCCATCGACCTGCAACTCTTTCCTCCTCAGCAGATTTTTTTTTGTGTGTTTTGCGTGCTGCTGTGTTCTTGGGGTTTCGGGAAGGATGCTGTCTGTGAACCCGTGCAATACATGTTTCCGAGCTGAGGATAGGCGTGGGGTTTAAAGGTTCATGTCTCTTGACTTTTCGAAGCTGTTGGGAAAGTGGGCAAAGTGGTGCGGATGTCCTTACACGCTGCTAAACCCTAAACTCTTTTCAGAAGTGGACTATCAGCTGATGTCTTCGAACCCTCGCAACTCTGATAAGTTGGTGCTGCTGCTTTGCCCTGGCTCTGGCTGTATACCTATACCCTTAAAAATAGTTCCTGTTTTTGGATGACCTGTTGTAGGGTTAGGATCCTATAATTAAGAAACTAACGTAACCCAAAAAAGGTACTACTTTTAAGGGTCTAGGTAGGCCCTATCTACCGATCCTCTGAATAATCTACTCCTAGCTCTCCTGGGGCATTGCAATACAGGGGCCTATATAATTACCTTCTAATTTGTTAGGGCGCCTATTTTAGACCGATAGCTGCTGCAGCTGCAGAAGTGCTGAGGCTGGGCGGTGGCGCCTCGCGCGGGAGCTGGGAGCAATGTACCATAGAGACTTTCACGGCTCCTCGGAAGGGAGAGGCCCCGCAAGACCTACGTAGGGTTTACCTGGACCCCAAAGAACCTCTCTTTTTAGTGTTCCTCATTATGATTTCGTTATATAGGACCTTAAAAAGGTAGGTTCTTTGGGGTCTAGGAAGGGTTTAGGGTTCTGAGCTTCAGTGAATTCCCTGGGCCCTGTGTGGCATTTGAGCACTACCGTTGATGATAGAAATCCTTAGCATTACCTTCAGGACCCTAAGCTATGGGAATTAATGTATATTCCTTCTTATGGGTAATGCAGGATTTATCCCCTATGCCGAAGCTCCGAAACACACCCTAAACGCCAATCCGAATCGCCGAGCCTTCGATGGGAAACTTTGCAAATCTGTAATGCCAAGGATCCACACAAGGCATTGTCGACATTGGTCCGATGCATCTCACAGCTGCAACTTGCCCGACATAAGGCTTCAGAAGTCCGGAACCCTAATCCCTAAACCCTATATCCTAAACCCCTAAACCCTAAACCCCTAAACCCTAAATCCTCAAACGCAAACCCCTAAACCCTCGGGGTTTTCGTCCAGGGCACAGAGTCGGAGGTATGGCTAAGAGGTTAATTAAGGTGGACAGGTCGTGGGTTCGCGTGCAACTTGGGAGTTTCGGAGAATTAGAGGTACCAGGAATCCTTTCTTGATTTAAAGCAGTCTTTTGTCGAAAAACAGGTACCAGGATCCCGAATCAGAGGGGAGGATTCTGTGATTTAGGGTTCGGCGTCCGGGCCCTTGGTTTTGGGAAACTCCCACTTGGCCCTGGGTTGACAAAGCCATTGCAGCTCGGATTCAGCCCTATGCTTGCTTCTTCAGTAGACAGTTGCGTTGGCGAAGGTATAGGGCGAAACTGAAGATGATGGCTCCTCGGATAGGATGCAGCAGCGGCTGGCCATATGAAGGAAGACGGTACTGTTGCCGTACTACATTTTTCAGGGCAGCGCCTTCGTTGCAGCAGTCGAGCCTGAGCTCAGCCGTGTCACACGGAATAGTTTTGCTCAGCATCATCGACAGCTTCAGCTTCATTGTTGATATAGAGAAGCCTTCGCTGTCCCTGAGGCTGAATAGCACCGGTGGTCGCCAGGAGGCCTCCTGTGCGGGTCATGCAGCAAGGGCCCTGGGGTCGAAACCTCTGGGCCAAGTTTGTGCCGATTCCTTGTCCAATTGAATTGGAATTCCTTCATCCTAGGTAGTATTAGGGAGACCTCTTAAAGGGGACCCTTCTGAACTCTACTTGTGGCTCTCTGAAAGGGTACCTTACTGAGAGGGTCTATATCCTCAAGGGTCCCCCTAATCCTAACTCCCACTTCAACAGGCATCCTTGACTTGCTGACACTGGGAGCTTCTGCGCCAGAAATGGGATGAAGATGCTTTCGTAGACCGAGTGCCCGTTTGCCCAGGTCCCGAAGACACTCGCCCTTACTGGGACCAGATAAACCCCCAAACCAACAAAACCCTGAACCCTGAACCCTAAACGCCTAAACCCTAAACCCCAAACCCTTAAACCCTAAACCCCTAAACCCTAAACACTATGCACTTTGCAACCTAAACCCCCGAAGCCCCAAAAACCCTAAAGCACCTTTGCGCGGAGGAGTTCTTGGGCCGGCTGCCTCTGATCTTCCGCCTGCTGGTTCTGACGCTTCGGAGAGAAAAGTCTTCGAGGGTTTCGGGGTTGAGTTTGGGGTTGTAAGGTTTCGGGTTTAAGTTTAAGGGCTCATGGCATGTTTAATTCCAGAAAAGCCCCTGCAACTGTGGGCATGATCTACTGTACACGTGCCCCACAGTGTGTCCCTAATAGCTTGATATAACACCCCGTATAATGAAGCCCACCAAGGTAGAAAAATCCCTGCAACATGCTTAATTCTGCTTTTGTCTTGTTTGGCGCCCCAAATTGGACCAACCGGAACAGAGGTCCCTCCACATCCATAGCGAACGTCCCAGAGTTCGCCCAATACCCAAACTAAGAGCTTAGAAAACAAACCCCCTTGTCTCCCCCCCTCCCCGGACCCTAAACCCTAAACTCTTAAACCCTAAAATCAGAAGGAGGGGCCTAGGGGGACCGGCTTTTTGCTGGATCAGAGTGGAACTGCATCCCAGGACGAGCTGCGAAGCTGCCCCAGGCAGGGCAAAGACTGCAGAGACGGCGCACGGGTTTTGGATTTCAGGGTTTTGAGCTTTTACGGTTTCGGGTTTAGGGCTGATAGGGCTTATTAGGGTTTAGGGTTGAGAGTTTCAGGGTTTTGAGCTTTTACGGTTTAGGGTTTAGGGCTTACAGGGCTTGTTAGGGTTTAGGGTTGAGGGTTTCAGGAGGGTTTAGGGTTGAGGGTTCAGGGTTTTGAGCCTTTACGGTCTAGGGTTTAGGGCTTATAGGGCTTATTAGGGTTTAGTGTTTCAGGGTTTTGAGCTTTTGGAGTTTTGGGTTGTGGCTTTTCGCGTTAAAGCGGCATGTAAGGCGTTCTTTGCTGGGGTGTCCTTTTCGGTGCTTTCCTGGGCTCCCAGTATTGACTAGGCCTCCCAAGCAGGGCTCCCCAGCCCACATGGAGCCTAAAGCCCGGAGCCCGGGACATCTAAACAGCCTTGACTTGTACAACGTGCTGAAATCCCGAAGCATCAGCCCTAAAACCCTAAAACCCTAAACCCTGAAACCCTAACCCGTAAGCCCTAACCTTCAACCCTGAGACCCAAAGCCCCAAGCGTCAACCCAAACAGCCCAAATCCCTCCGGACTCAAACCAAGCCCCTGAACCCTAAGCCCTGAAATCCTCAGCCTGATTTGATCTCAGCCCTCACACAGCCCCAAGGCCTACAACTTGAAGGCCTGAGCCAGTGAATTCATAAACCCTGGACCTCAAAAAGCGCCTCATCTCAAATCCTAGACCCTCCTTTGCAAAAGCGCCCTCGAGGCATCCGCAGCCGATCCTTGTACTTTGTTGAAGCACCACCCCCCGGCTCGGGTGCGCCGCCCGGGGTAGGGTGTGGTATTTTTGGTTTCAGAAAGTTGCTTGGTTGGTTCAAGCGTTTGAGTCATGGCTTTTTTTGAGATTAAAGCTTAGTAGTCTTAGAGAGTTTGGGCTTTTGGAAGGCTCAGAACTCTTTGTGTCGGTGGGTTTTTCCGGGATTTTGGAGGGGGTCGGACTTTGGCTTCGTGGGTTGAACAGTAGGAGGAAGGTCACCTTTCGGATCAACTCCGCTTGGCCTGCACTCCAAGGCCCTCTGCCTGAACTTGTCTACATATTAGGCTTAAGACTTAAGCCTTAAACCTCCAAGCCACAAACTCTAACCCGAAAGGCCTAAGCACCAAACCCTGAGACAAAAGCCTACCCCCTAAGACTGTTCGGTTCTTCTCCGCCGAGCTCAAAATCTTAAGTCTCCGAGCCACTCCCACGTGTCAATCCTGCAACAGAGAACTTTCGAGCACGGGACGAAGACCTTTTCGATGCATGTTGCAGTGTTCCACAGGCCCGAGCACCGCGGATGCAGGCTCTAGCTGTGCAAAGCTGGATCCGCACCACATCTATAAGTTCAGAATCTGAGAGCTGCGACTTCGAAGCTGTCAAAGCTCTGACCTGAGAGAAGGTCCGGCGATTCCCCAAGAAGCTCCCGAGGTGGAGCTGGGAACCATCAGTGGACGCCATGGGTCAACAAATTCAGCCAGCAGGAAAAGCTATTGCCCTCGATCTCCCTGCAGGCATTGATGCAAGCAGGCGGTGGAAATACTTGTGCGTCTGCAACGTGAATGGCAAGGCAGTGGCAGTGCCGTTTTTTGGTGAGAAGATTTTGGTGGTGGACCCTGCAACTAGCCAGGCTTCGGCCATCGACCTCCCCGCAGGCATTGATGCAAGCAGGGAAAGGAAATACGAGTCCGTCTGCAGCGTGAATGGCAAGGCAGTGGCAGTGCCAGGTTATGGTGAGAAGATTTTGGTGGTGGACCCTGCAACTGGCCAGGCTTCGGCCATCGACCTCCCCGCAGGCATTGATGCAGGCAGGGCATGCAAATACGGATCCGTCTGCAACGTGAATGGCAAGGCAGTGGCAGTGCCGTGTGATGCTGAGAAGATTTTGGTGGTGGACCCTGCAACTGGCCAGGCTTCGGCCGTCGACCTCCCCGCAGGCATTGATGCAAGCAGGGCATGCAAATACGAGTCCGTCTGCAGCGTGAATGGCAAGGCAGTGGCAGTGCCAGGTTATGGTGAGAATTTTTGGTGGTGGACCCTGCAACTGGCCAGGCTTCGGCCATCGACCTCCCCGCAGGCATTGATGCAAGCTGGGCATGGAAATACGGATCCGTCTGCAACGTGAATGGCAAGGCAGTGGCAGTGCCGTTTTTTGGTGAGAAGATTTTTGTGGTGGACCCTGCAACTGGCCAGGCTTCGGCCATCGACCTCCCCGCAGGCAGCTGGGGTTGTCAATGCGCGCCCGTCTGCAGTGTGAATGGCAAGGCAGTGGCAGTGCCGGGTTATGGTGAGAATATTTTGGTGGTGGACCCTGCAACTGGCCAGGCTTCGGCCATCGACCTCCCCGCAGGCATTGATGCAAGCAGGCGGTGGAAATACGAGTCCGTCTGCATCGTGAATGGCAAGGCAGTGGCAGTGCCGCGTGATGCTGAGAAGATTTTGGTGGTGGACCCTGCAACTAGCCAGGCTTCGGCCATCGACCTCCCCGCAGGCATTGATGCAAGCAGGGAATGGAAATACCGGTCCGTCTGCAACGTGAATGGCAAGGCAGTGGCAGTGCCGCGTGCTGCTGAGAAGATTCTGATTGTGGACCTGCCGCAATCCACAGTGTTCAGCCTCAGCCTGCACCAGAGTGCTGTCCAGCACACGCCCGTTTTCGCTGAGCTGGTGGCAGCTTTGTTGAGCTACTGGGTGTACACGGACGAGCCGGAACCTCCACATCTCGAGAATGCTTCCATGCAAGTTCATCGAGTGGTTCAGCCGGGCGAGTTTGGTTCAGCCGTGAAGATCGCCACCGTCACTGCTGACTTACCCGCTGGCAAGGTGCTCTACGTCGCCTTTAAGGGTACTTCTTACATCCTGGACTTCCTAAACTGGAACCTCGAGTTGCATCACACCATGACGCAAGATCCCGACTTCTTCGTCCACGGCGGCGCAGCGGGCACAGTCCAGGCAGTAAGCTTCTGGCTTGAGCAGAGCTTGCTGGAGCGCTTAAAGACGGCGAGGGAGAACGGGGTGCGGAGTGTAATTTTCACAGGCCACTCCTTGGGAGGAATGTATGCAGCATTGTTATTCTACATCTTCTGGAAGAAGAAGAAGGATGGCGCCTCGAAGGATGTCGTGTCCCTTCTGTCCGATTTCGACGTGCGGTGCGTCACCTTTGGCTCTCCGATGGTTTTCGGAGGTGACTCCCCGCAAGCACAGGCATTCAAAGAATTTGCAGCGAAGGGAGCCGTGAACTACATCAATGAGAACGACCCGTGTCCACGTGCCTGGGGCACCATCAATCTCCGGCAGTTTGTGGAAGTGGCGACCAAAAGCGTCCAGAAGGGATTGGTCGACCAGCTGGGCAGCGTCAAGGGGTTTGTGGCATCGCAGGTCGTTGCAGCAGCTGCACAGCACTTCCTAAACCGGCCGGACTTTTACCTCCTCGAGGATTTTGCTAAACCGTATCAGCACTTTGCAGAGCTAAAGGTGTTGAGTTCTCATAGGCAGGTCGCTCGTTGGAAGGAGTTCCAGCTCACCCCAGACTGTCTGAAAGACCACTCCGTTATGGCTTACGTGACCCGGCTCTTTGATGCCTTTGACGACAGCCGGCCCGAATGCCATGTTCACACCCAGACTGCTCGGACGGTACTCAGGGGTGGAGCCTAGTTCAGTCTTGGCAACTCCGTCTTGGGAGGGTGCAATCCGACGTGGATTGACCGAGTTGCAAGAACTTTGCCGGCGAACCAGCCAGAAGATGCTGGTCGAGGCGAGCTTGGACACAGACATTTGTTCCATTGCACGAGAAAGATCTTCACAGAGGGCGAGCTTCTGCCGTAGGTGAGCCGCATTCACAAGTTCCATGTGCAATGAACCAAAACCTACTGAACCCTAAACCCTGAGCCCTAAACCCAAAACCCACGTGCAACGAACCGAAACCTACTGAACCCTAAACCCTAAGCCCTAAAACCCTAATTAAACCCAAGTGCAATGAACCAAAACCTACTGAACCCTAAACCCTGAGCCCTAAACCCAAAACCCACGTGCAACGAACCAAAACCTACTGAAC